TCGAAAAAACACTTTATCGCGTTCCATTTTTCACAAAGCAAAAGAAATTGTTGTTTAGGAAAATAATTGTGTATGCTGACTGAATGTTATCGAGAAATGTCGAAATTAATCACAAACTACCTGTTTCGTTAGTAATGACTACTAGAACTGTTTGCATTGCCATCTAACATTTGCGGGCGGAAACTAAGTTAAGGTCCTAAAGCATGTTGGTCCTAGCATGTTCGACTGGCTCTGATAGCGAATTCGGTTGCTTGCACTAGTGTGCACTGAGTGCGCACTAAGGCTTGTTCATAGTATGTTATTATATTTAAAGATTGTCTTAAATAATTCTCAAATAAATTCTCAAATATTTTTAACCATAATATGATATGTATAACATCCGTACGAATCATTTTATTAGTTAAAATGTTTTTAATATGTATTTAAGACACGATCTTAAATATAAGAATATACTGTAAACAAGCCTTAATGCACACTCAGTGCGCACTAATGCAAGCTACCGAATTCGCTATGAGTTAACCCACTCTGGATTATTCAGCCTACGTTTATTGGTCGAACAAGTACTTCTAAGCTTTATGATTGGCTAGTAGAGACTTATGACGTCATTAATCGCTCTCGGAACAATTAACCCAAAGCCAGTCGAACATGCTATAAGCTAAATAAGTTAGTACTTAATGGCAATGTACTATAATAAAAAAAAAAAAAAAAACCGAGGTAGTGATGGCTATAAACAGCATCTGACCAATGTATTTTTCTGCATTATATTGAGGTCATGATATATAACTCAACAAGTGATATATAAGTACACATACATTTTAAATGCACGCATTTTTGCATGCGTATGGCCACGGAGCATGTGATCGTATCATTGCATTTCGTCGCTATGACAGGTTTCATAACCTATCATATCCGTCAAGTTTAACGATTAATATCTTGCATTGCGGGGCAGAACGACGATTTTAACTTTCATACTTGGTTTTTACGCGTGAAAATACACGAGTTTTTCAGTCAAATCGGAGGTGAGGACTCTAAAATATATAATTACCAATGATTATATCTTAAATATATGCATATACTTTATTTGAATCGCTTTGAAAATGTTTTACTTGTTGAAGTGTAAAATTGGAAAATAAAGGTTATGTGACTTAAACCTAACATTAAGTCGTATTACGAAAATAGCAGCTTGCGCGAGAAACTCTTAAATATAAAAGTAATAGATTTAATATATGCAATAGATGTGTATATATATATTATAAAATATCGTTTTTACTTATTCTTTTTATACAATTTGATGATTATACAAGGAATGTACCTTAGTATTTTCAGTGCTCTTGCAAATATTTAATTGTGATTCTGTAATTTATCTTTCAATCCAGTAAAATTGGAAACAACTTTCTTTCACAAATGCAACATCCTACTTTAATCTAAGATATCCTTCCGTACAGATTTCTAAGATTCAATAACTGCACTCATTGATCATTTAAATAAGATATTTATATCTGATGTTTCAGCGTCTCTTTCATATGTTGTCACTTTTTCCTCTTATATACTGCTTGCTATAAATTATCGCAGAACTGTACACCATGATGTCTTCAATAATTATGCTCTATTTTCCAATTTAATTATTGTATCATGTACACTCTCTATTACACTGTATATATATGGACGTTCCATGGAATTGACCTTCAGCATTGAGAGGATCAAGTTCTGCATATCCTGTGAAGCAAAAATACATGATATATTAGATCCAGTAACTGGTATTATGCAAATGTAGCATACAAAGCACAATAAACAATACATTACAACCTCATTATACGGAGTACCTTCTGGAAATGTCACATGAGCACTCATCACAGCGAGAGCTACACTGTCACCTCGCTCATAAACTGTATCAAAAGGGGATTTGAAGTAACACAGTGCATATAATATACAACCCAACGACTGAAAAAAAGGCACTCTATAATTAAATCCAATAATTAAGTCATTTGTGTCTGAACGATAAGATCGATCTTATTACTGCTGCTCACCCAGATATCTGTCCGTTCATCAACCATACAATAACTTTCAACGTTGAATAATTCTGGTGCCTTATACGGCATAGAGCACCTCTCAGCTGCTAAGTCTTGCAAAGTTCGTGCAGCTTGTGTACCACACACTTGAACTCTGGCAGTTGTTACTGAACCTATATAGTTATTAGGGTTTGGTGATAAGAAAGCCTGTATGTTGAGCTGAATATTAAGGAAATAATAGAGTATAATCTACCCAGGTCCATAATTACAGGTGCCCCATCATCACTAAGTACTATATTTGCAGTTTTTAGATCTCTATGTGCAAGAGGTTCAGGCTTAGCCTCGTGAAATGCTTTCACACCTTCACAAATTTGTAGAAAAATATTTAGTATATCTATAGGGCTCATGTAATCGTTATCCTTTGCTCGTAGTTCTAATTCATCCGCTAGTGTTCCTCTCTGAAATCACAATAGTACTAATGATCTTTTCAGGTCATATAAAATATTCTTATTGAAGAACTATGCCAACTTACGTGATAATACGGTAAAACAATTAACACTTCACTTGTTGTATTAACAATTGGATCAGCTGCGCCCTCACGAGCCGAATCTATGCATTTTATAACGTTAGGATGCTTTATCAGGCTGTAATATTCCACTTCTTTTATCGCCAGTTGCTGATCCTCTGGTCCATGACAGATGATTTTCTTAATAGCATATTTCTTGTGCGTCACGGCATCTTCCGCCAAAAGTACTGTGCTAAATCCACTGGAGGAAGAGGTTTACATTCAAATTTAAAGTTACAAATGCGAAATTATTTATGGAATAACTGATAATTCATTTGTTTGACAAACTTGCCCTTCTCCAAGATGTTCGCGGATGGTATACTTTCTCGAGTTTACTGTAACAGTCTCTTTAGCACAAATACAGCCCATTCTAAAAATCAAGCTTAAACCTAAGCTATTCATCTTTGTGGTTTATCATCACGGTAAAAGCGTAAAAAGATTTTAGGAGAAATAATCTCGCTGCTGTCACTAACATACAAACATTTTGACACGTCAATTCCTAGGTTAGGAATCCGAGTGAGTGAGATGCAAATAGTATTTCTTCCTCTCTCTTCACTCTACTTTCCTCTCCCTTCTACGGGCCCATCCACAAAAGCAATAAGGCTTGGTTTATAATGGATATGTTCGAGGAGCAAGCTGTAAAGGTGCCAATACATGGGAGCGTTCCAGCGTCGAGCGTTAAAGCGTTAGCCAATCAACGTATCAAGTTCCAAAAGTATATTTGTAGTTCTTGCGGAAAGTGGCACGTTGATTGGCTACCGCTTTAACGCTCGACGCTCGATGCTCCCATGTAAAGGCACTTTAAAGGTGTAAACCCATGTAGCGGAACGCGGAACCAATCATGAGCGAAAGCAATCACGAGTGAAAACGCTTGTGATTGCTGTGGAACGCGCGTGATTGGTTCCGCTCTCGTCCCGCGCTCCGCTATTCCGCTAGATGGGTTTGCATCCTAAGAAGTAAAGGTAAGAAATTAACAGTTATAATTGATTATTTTTCTCACACTTGATTATGATTATCCAATTTCTTGCTCTTTCCTGAGAATATTTTATTGAAATATTTACTGAAATCTCTCCCAATTGATTCCTTTTCATTCAAATTCATTAAGATTCTTCAAGATTAATTAAAATTCATAAAAATTCAGGAAAACTCATTTTTCAAGATTCATAAAAATTCGTAAAATTTATTAAGATTTATTAAAATTCATAAAATTAATTTTATTGTTATATAACAATAAATTATATTTTATGAATTTTAATGAATCTTAATGGATTTTATAAATTTAATGAATTTTAATAAAAAGGGAGGTAATAAAGTTGAAAAAAATTTTAATTAAAATATTTCCATCAGGGTTACTTTTTATATCTATATTTTACTTCCACATCCATTACTTCTTACATCTATATTATGGACGGTCTTTAAGGCCTTCACACGGAATTACTGTTAAGCCTGTATCGAATATTGAAGATTAGAGGATTAGAGGAGTCGAAATTAAAATTTGACAAGTCAGTTAACTGCGACTTTTGCCTCACATCGTTTATTAAAAGTTCTCTGTTCTTTTTAGCTAAACTGAATTGGTGCAATAAGTTAGAGTGAAACCAAGCGAAACAAAATATATTTGTCTCATTCTAACTTATTGCATTAGTGCAGGTGAAAAGAACGGACCTCATGTTTTCGCATGCCGCGTCAGATTTATTTGTTGTATATTTTACGAGTTTCATCGTACTCCGCCTGTGATCAAAGTGCTTCAGTGTTAGAAAAATGCGACTGCACGCAACACGAGATCTGAGCACATAACATTGTTGTGCCGTATTGTTCATGAGACCGAGACGATAATTAGTGGCGCAGGCCAATTTGATCTAACCTCACCGTGACGTATAATCGGCCAAATGTTAATGTACAGTTTACTACATAATATATTTTTTCCTAGCAGTTTTTATGGTACGTACTCTCCAAGAATTCCAATTTGCGAATTACGAACGAGCGCGCAAATTCTCAAATCCGAACGATCTTTTTCACCTTGTCGCAGGCCACGTGAAAAGTTTGATTTCTATTGTAAATATAGAACGGCTGCGTCGCCCGAGATCACTGACGTAATTTTTAATTACGAGTCCGTAACGTCGGTAACGTTATACGTCGTGGAAAATGAGCGAGACCACGCCGGTAAATGACGTACCAGAGAGCAATGGCACGGTTGAGCAGCCTGCTTACAACGGAGAGACAGAGGAACACGCCAGTAAGTGTACTTATGAGCAAAATATAACGGTAGATTGACAGCAAATTCAAGCAGAATATGATAAATCTACAAGGTCTGTTCTTTATTGCTGAACTACTGTGTGTTTACTGAACTTAAAAGAGATATATATACAGTCAGAGTTCGGTGGAGAAAAGAGAAGAAAACTAATATATAAACAGTTCAACAATAGAATATAAACTTATAGCCATATGTTAGCATTAAGTTTGTATTTTGTCGATAGAGTCTGCTATTGATGTAACTTGGTGATAGATTGGCAGTAAAAGTTAAGCAGGATCTGTAGTATATTCCATTTAGATGGTACTTATCGTCATATTCTGTTAGTAGATTTTATCTGCATTTCTACTGATAAACTGCCGACGACATTTACAACAAACATTGCACAAAATCTATTTCTGCAAGTTTGCCTATCTGAGTCAATTCAATTTGCATCCTACCTGTTTGCGTGTTAGCATTAACTAACAAAATTATGTTTACTTTTTTAAAGGTTAAAAGTTAAATGTGTAAGGATATAAAAACTAAGGCAAAGGTGTAGCTTAAGATAGTAATTAGGATAAGAGATAATGTAAAGGTGACTGTAGATTACAGATGAGTGTGTGAGGTAGAAAAATTATAAGCCAAGTCCTTTCCTGGTAATGTAAGCTGAAATAAATAAATATATATGTTTACTTTTTCCATTAGACAAATCTCCAGTAAGCCTAGAAGACAAGGCGCCAGACCTGGTATCTGACAATAGTGCAAAGAAAAACACTACTGGCAATAGCAATGCAACGAGTAGGGCAAAGAAACGGAAAAAGACTCCAAGAGATGCCACTGCCCCGAAGCAACCACTTACGGGTTATTTTCGGTAATGAGACAAAAATACTTTTATGTGTACATCGAAATATACGTGATGTCTTTAATCGAGCGTGATAAACAGGTTTTTAAATGATCGGAGGGAGAAGGTCCGAAACGAGAATCCCAATCTTTCTTTCACAGAGATCACAAAGCTCCTGGCTTCGGAATGGAGCACGTTACCATCTGATCAGAAGCAGGTTTGTTGCTTTTCGTGATATCCAATTGCGTCCCGTTAAACTACAGTTAAAGGAACAACGAATGTTACAGCAATATTTAGACGCTGCCGAGCAAGACAAGGAACGTTACAATCGTGAAATTAGCGACTACAAGCAAACGGAAGCGTATCGTCTGTTCACTGAGAAACAGACGGAAAAGCAAAACGAGAATAAGAAAGAAAGGAACGGCACTGCCGTAAACGCCGAGTCAAACGTACGATCATATTGTTGTCATACACTTAAGGCTCCTGGCTTCTCGCATTGTCTATCTCTTTTTAATGACGTTAGAAGCGAGAAAATGCATGCCAAAAATTCTTGCGAAATACGTTGAAATAAAAATATATATCTATTAAGTAACATTTGCAATCGATTAAACAAATTTATAAGATATTCCGTGCACTCCCTTTTTGTTCTAACAATCAATAATTTATTGTAAATTAATCTGAATAGAAATAGGCGAAGAAATAGGTTAAGATGAATCGTATGTCACGTTAATTTACGACAAATTATTGATTGTTAGAGCAATTATTGATTGCAAAATTATTGATTGTTAGAGGGAAGTGCACGGAATATCTTACAAATTTGTTTGATCGATTGCAAGTCTTTATGGATATATATTTTTATTTCAATGTATTTCATAAGGATTTTAGCATGCATTTTCTCGCTTTTGACGTCATTAAAAAGAGATAGACAATACAAGAGGCCAGGAGCCTTAAAATTGATCGTTGCAACAAAATAGTATTGTTAATGGAAGCTATCTTTTCCAGGATGTACAACAAGACAAGGACAATGATTTCACGGGTTTTGACATCCCTATTTTTACAGAAGAATTTCTGGATCATAATAAAGGTAAAAAATTGCGAATTGTGTGACTGAAATCAAATAATAATAAGGTATTTTAAAGTTCTTAATTCGTCGCGGCCATCTTGATTTATGTTAGAAGTGAGGAAATATATTAAAATTTCTTGTAAAATACGTTAACGATAATTTATTGATTATTAGAGCATTATTAGAGATACTCCTGATCAATTTCAAGTGTCATTTTATGGATATATCTCTCACTTTTAACATACTTTGCAAGAATTTTCATTTTTATTGTATATTTTCTCACTTCTGACATCATCAGTCAAGAGTTCTGCGGTGAGAAGGCAAAAATCTTAATTATATAGTTAGCCGAATTGAAAAATATTAACACGAATATGTCGCGTTTGCGCAGCTTGTGAAGCTGAATTGAGACAGTTGCGGAAAGTCACATCCGACTACGAGAGTCACAACGCGGTTCTCCAGCTACACGTCGACACTCTGCACACCGCTGTGAACGAGTTGGAATCCGAGATATACCAGCAGCGAACGACCAACCAAGCTCTACAACGTCACTTGGACACTCTTCGGTCGCAACTGGCCACCTGCTTCGCCAACATACCGCTCCCAGGTGAGCGTCATACTGGCGAGCGTCTGTCTTGATTCGACATTTTTATTTACGATTGCACAAAATACTTTTCATTGTTGCAGAGACACATAATGGCGCTACATTACAAAATATCGACGGTTACTTCGAGAGACTCGAATCGCTGTTGAATGGCAACGCGGAGCAAAGTCTACGCAATGCCGTACGCAATGCCATATCTCGTCTCGAATTAATTGGATGACGATCACCTCCTGGCAGCACGACTAGTACATCGTTAAAACATCATCGCTCGAAGCATCCATATCGAAAGTAGCGAGAGAATAGGTGTATACATATAGGTGTGTTTGGGCGTGTATGTTGGTTTTCGACAGTTCGTCAAGTCTACTTTCTTATATTTCTTATACAGAATGATCGCGTCAATTATGTAAGTGGATTTATATCGCAGCTGATTATTGTTTTTGTAGTAATTCTATGGCGTACACGCGACAATAATTTAAATCTCATTTTATATATCTATTTCGTAATTGAGGAGTGTGTTTTATGTATTATATGTATGAAATTTAATGTTATTTTGCTGATATATACACATATGTAATTTTTTTTTTTTTTCTTATACCTCGCAATACTAAATGAATTTATATACGTTTCTGTATATGAACATGGTTGCATGCTCATTAAATCCAAATAGTATCTTGAATTATCAGTCAGAACTTATAGGAAATCTAAACTGTCATTGTTGAGGATATTTAGCGCTTATTAATAAATTTTGTAACCTTATCACAATTTATTGTCCATACTCAGCATGTGTTTTTTCAACTGATTCCACATAAACCTGGAATTGTACGATCATTTTTGGTCAATATCACGTTAAGTATGCGCACACATATAACAGGAATTATTTTGCGTTTAAAGGATTTATGCTTGTGGATCTTACCTCAAAGATATCGCGTTATGTCGATGATATTGTTCGGCCTGCGATACGATAGCTTCGATTTGTGAGAACAAACCGATTATTATACTTTTCTTTATCGGCAGAATTGATCGTATAAGCTCGAATGTAGGCTGCATATTTAGCGTTAAGTGTTTCTGCATCATAGCCGAGACGGCAGTGTGGAATTTCTCTCTGAAAAATACGAAGCCTTTAAACATATAAATGCGTTCGGAGAAATGTTTCCTTTTGAGAATATCTTGAGATGTTCACCTGATTATTTTATCTGCTTCATAGTACGAATTCTTAATTACATCTCTGATGAAGTCAATCGTGTACAGCTTATGTGGGTGATGATCGTGAACCTTCATGTAGCAGCCAAAGATGTTCGAAGAACAAATCTGAATGATGTGTTCTACGATATATTTGGGATACGTTTTCTCTTCCTTAAGCAGTGTCTTAATAAGCCAAGTTATCTGCGGGAATATATACAACAGATGTGTGTTTGCCGTCATTGTTATATTATATTGTTATATTATACTGCACTATAATATAATTACGATGTCATTATGCGTACCAAATTGGAGTGTTTGTGCATAACATTGTCGGACGATATATTATAAAAATTCGACATCAGCATCTCGAAGATCGAGCGCACAAATTCGCATTTTGCCTCCTTAAAACACTTTAATAGCACATCGGAAACTTTGAAATTGCCGCTGTTATTAACCTCGGTTATTAAAATCGGTAAATATTGATCGAAGATATCCCTCATCATCGCCTGCAGTAATATATCACCTTTAATGTTCAATTTTTCTAGACCGAGTATTATCATGGAAAATATTCTCTTTCCCAACTGCTTTAGGTATAGCTGTGTGGAATTTTCAGGTACAAGTATAACTTTGTTGATGAGCGTTCTCAACATGTCGTTCGGTAAATTCTGCGAAAAAAAGGATTTTGAAAAGATAAAAATTGCAAATTTGTAATTAGATATGTCGAGTCGCGTACTTTAGTGTACAATGCCGGTGAAATGCAGAGTATCAGCGTTCCGAGACATCTGTAGATCCAGAATGCGACCTCCGAGTCTTTTGTTTCCTCCGTTATGGGTATCAGGACCCATTTCTCTAGATTCTTAAAGTATGTTCTACATTTTCCATTATGTTGGAGTCTCTCTAGTTCAGACTGTGAAATTCTTCAGTTGTATAAATTTGCTTTCGCACTAAGATAGCAGTATTCGAGTCATTGAGACCTTCAGTACCTTTAAAAGATTCTCTCTTTTCATGAGCGATATTATGAATGTCAAAATGGGCTCATTGCTATCCCGAAATTCTTGCAGATCATCGTCCGATATAAATACTTCTTTAATCTCATCAAGTTCGATAATGTAACACTGTAAAATATTTAGTTCCTCTTTGTCTGCGCCGTGGCCAAGGATGGAACATTTTATCCAGGCCTAGAAAACATACTGTATAAATCGACCGTTTCAAACTGCACATAGCATATCGTAAATACATGGAATACAGACTTGAATGAGAATGGTATCGAAATTTGGAATTTCCTTCTTTAAGCTTTGCACAGCATGGCTGTTCTCGAGAATTGACGTTAAATAATATTGAGTAATTCTGGAACGATAATATATTGTAATATTACTTTGTACAGATATGCTCTAATTATATCACATAGACAATTTTTTACCTTATATCCTTAACGAATATTGATGCCGCGAAATGTTGAAATAATGACATGGCTGAATGTTTATACTTCTTGGCAGTGGCTGGATCTCTGACTGCCTCCAGCGTGAATATGACGGCTAGCTTGGAAATGTCTTTATAATTATCACCGCTGAGAACAGGATCGAAAACAAGCTGACGAACTCGAGAAGCAACGAAACACCACAGCGCATCTAACATCTTCTTAGCACCATCTGCAAACGAGTTTCGAATAATCCATCCGCATCAGATTTACGATAAATATGAAGAGTATATCTTTGGTCGACACGTGTACTTAGCAAAAATAAAAATAAATATAGTAACCATTGTCACAAGACACTTGCAAGATAACACACTTCTCGAAAACATTGGCGAGCATCTCGAGTAAAACAGCAATTCGATTTTTCGGGCACTCCAAGAGATAACGATCGATCCAGCCTCCGATGAAATTATGTTCTCCCAGATCCATTTTTTCATTGCCGGACAAGATCTTATTTAATACGTCGACAAAATTTGTCATCATGGAGCGAGATATTTCGTCTTTACGGCAACTTATTAAGTTGATCTAACAAATCAAGATATATGAAGGCTTTCTCAATTTTTTACGTATACTTTTAGGTAGATAATAAAACTCACGGTTTCTGTAAAATGGCCAGCTATAGCACTAAAAGATAATCTTTTTTCATTAAACAACAGCAGACAGGCTAGTTTTCCTTTCCAAACCAGATTGTACTTTTTATTGTTTTCATTATTTGCTTCGTGTGTAGACGGCAAGAGTTCTAGCATTGTTAAGCACTGAAGAACGTTAAAATGTATGTTAATAAAAATCTTCGATATGCACAATCAACAGTAACTCGCGCATCTTGACTTACTACATTGGTAGTGTCGGCAGTGATAGCTAAAGTAATGAATAAGGATATGAAATTGTACAGGCCGCTCTCGGAAAATTCTCCAACTTTGCTCTTCGAAAATTTCGTGTACACGCGACCTTTGACCTGACTCCAATATTTCGCATCCGTTTTGCTGTAGTTCTTTAAAAAAGTACCTGTAAGATTGATCATTATAACATAGAGTCAACGCGCGCAGGAAGTTTTCGCCAAGCTTACCTAACAAATATAAAAACATGCTGTAGCTAGATTCTTTAGACTGCTCAAATTTGCCATTAATTCTATCGTTGATTTGTTTCAGAATATCCGCAGCGCTTTTTCTAAACGAAGATTTAATATATGTTATATTTTTTAACATGTTATATATATATTTTAATATAATATGTGTCGCACAGACGACTGTGATTGTAAATTTGCACAATTTACTTCCATACTTTTCAACGGACAGAGCCCAAGGTCCAGAAGTCTGCTGCAGGAACGGCTGGTCCAATCTCTTATGGAAGCAATCCCAGAGGTAGGATATAAGAGATATTCGCGGCTGCCACCAAGTAATAATGAGATCATGTAATAACGGTATTATAATCTTTAGCTCGGTATCAAGTTCATCCCTCTCGCCATCCTTCCCACCTTTACAGACATATATTCTGAGAATCTTTTCAATTTGCTCGTAATTAGATCTAATCTGTAAATTGATGAACGTTTATTTACTACGATTTTCCAGTTTTATCTTTACTGAAATGTATCATCTACTACCCTTGACGACATAGATTGTAAGTATATACCATTGTTATTGTATCCATACAATAGAGACAAATGATATATTATCCAGATGCAGAATAATTCGGAATTTTTACAGTCTGGTAAAGAAGGATCTGCAGTTCTGTGCCAAGACATTCCCTGAATCTGATTTTTATCTAATATTTTATCAATACAAGTGTTCACATGATCCCAAAATACCTGAAAATACATTATTTGCTCATTTCATTTGAACGGGATGACTTTTATAGGAAATGATTAAGTATTTATAATGCTACCTTGGTTTTCATTCTTTCTTCCAAGTTATCAATAAATATTTGAAGCATTAGCCACAATTCTCGTATACATGTACAGTTGTATGGTGTTTTCTGCATAAGATCCATAGTCCAATTCAAGGATAACTAAGTGAAGATTAAGTAAACATAAAACAACACATTTCTATCATAAAATGATAGTTCTTTGTTCATATTCACTAAGTTTTTTGATCATACTTACTCTTTCGAATACTTTCAAAGCTGAATATATCAAATCATTTATAATCATTGTAAAAGTATTTTCTAATTCTTCCAACTGTGTGTGTACTGAATACTGGTACAACATGGTTTTTGCATACATCAATGTGACAAAGAACCATCTCAATTCTATATGCATATGATACATATGAAATTCTGGTTGTTTACACTGAAACAAAATGATATGTCTTGATGAGTCAAAATAACTCTATTTACTTTTCTAGAAGAATAATATATTTCAATTACCTTGTTACCTATATTAGAAGCTGCATAAAGCAAAGTAGAATCTGGAATGCTGCGTAACGTACTGAAGAACCGCTTGATGGAGTCAAACAAAGTATCCACATCATTATTAATTTCAGGTATTATTGCTTCTAATACAGCAAGATTCCATCTTATGCTGACATCAAATTTAATTAAGCCATTTATCAGTGATACATCATACATTAATAAAATGGTCTTTCACTTACCTGTTCATATATTCACGAAAATATAAAATAAATTCACAGACCATTTTTCTTAAAGAGAAATAATCACGATCATTGCATACTCCAGATATTGTAACAGGTCTGTCGTGTCTACTTAATATCTTCAAGTGCATCCTATAAGATTGACATACATGTATATCTGATATAAATTTATTGTACATAAATTTATATTTATATTTGTTATATAAATTTATTTATGGTTTTTCCAAAAATTTTTCAATTAAGAATGAAAATACATTAAAATATTTATTCTCACTCCATGCAATTGATAAAATGTTTAAGATTCATCACAGCTGTGGCACCAGGCATGACACAATTGAAGAGGCTGACTTCTATGTGAGAGAAGGAACAATCCGTTTGCAGGAAAAGCACATTTTCTACTTCCTTATGATAAAATAGACCGCTTCTGTTCAATTGCCAGTCGTTAACGTTGACTTTACCTCCGCAATCGCAGATAGCATCGAAATTCATCTGTGATATTATCAAAATTTACCGTACAATAAACATTGCAGTGGTAAACGCGACGATAAGCAACGATTTCTTCACTCCGTACTTACGATTAGAGCTAAAAGAATCGTATCTTAATCACTGTATCTTTATCACTGACCGAAGTTGCATTTATTTCTGCAGGGATTGTGGATTCTGTGGAAACACGAACTCACACTCGTGCTCTTTCGGCTAGCACATGATTTCGCGCACTTTGGCGGCATTCATCATGACGTTATCTCGACCTCCGCAGTGCGAGAGATCGAGAGCAACTGAGAGATCGAGAAATCGATAACTCGCGAATGAAATAGTGCTAGACAAAAGGATTGTTCTTTTTGAATTCCTAGAGAAGCCTGGAGCTACACATTGAGGTTGAAGTTGAAGTTGACTGTTCTTTTTTGCGAAGAACTTACTGAACTGATGCAATAAGTACTCTTTATTTCATTCTAACCTTTTGCACCAGTCTGCACAACGGTTCAGAAAGTTTTTAAAAAGATCACACCTATAAACGCGGCTCCCTCCGAAAACGAATGGAGGAGATACACATGCAACAAAAGAATCGTAATATGTAAGCTTAGCCGCTCGATTGATAAATGCTAAAATCATGTTTGCGTTTTTCTTGTTATATTACGTATTTCTCTCGTTCGTTTTCGAATGGAATAACGTTTTTTTATTTATTCCAGCATCATTGAATTGGACGTCTTCATCCATTTCTTTTCGCGTGAACTCAATCTTATTTATGTTCGATTTCACCAACGTCAATTAGTCTTCAAAGATTTAAATTCAGATTAATGTTCAGTCGACGTGTAAGAACTTTGGTGAAATCCAGGTAGAACACAAAGTCATATATAAGTCAAATGATATAAAAGTGATGTCATTTTGACGTTAAACAATACCATTTTCATGACAATAATGTCAAAATGATATCATCTTGACATCAAAATGATTTTGTGTTCTACTTGGGAATCGGGTCTTATCAATGGGTGCGTTCAGAAGACACAACGGTTACACAACGGTTGAGTAATTAGTCAATGTAATTAGTCTAAAGTTAGGGATCTAACAGTAAGGACCAATAATCACTGACCGCTCACTGATCAGTTATGCTGTCTGAACGCAGCCAATCATGCAATTTTGTTCCTTGGTATGAGATCATGAAGAGTGAATAATTTTCCAATATACTGGGAGGCGATTGTGAGTCTTTCTTTTCAGTGTGAACTCGCGAAAAGTGAACATTTCCACGTATCCTCAAGATTAGATTTTTCACTTTTCACGAGTTCACGTTGGGGGAGAGAATTTATGATCGACCTCCTGAAGTTCGCGTTGTTTACAAAACTCTCGTTCGAGAGCACGAGTCAAAGATGGCGGCTCAAGTGGAGCCTCAGCGCGTCAGGTAGCGGGTCGGCCACGCATGACTAATAAATAGACAGCAATAAGATGTGTGCACAGCATGTCGTGTATCCTTAGAACTCGTCCGTGCGAGAGCGATTCGTTCGGCATGACGAGCCGCGGTCAATTCTGATCCGGGTCTGTTCGCTCGACCGGCTACCGGCAGCCGAAAAGTGAGATGCCATAACCGAGAGATCGCGTGGAACACGGTGACTCACTCACTCATCGTCCTCGGTGACACTCGCTCTCCAGACGATCCGCGGTGAGGCAACGATGCTGCTCTTGTGAGAACGACTGAAATCTGAAAAAAAGTCACGGAACACTTGCCAACATGAACGTGCAGGAACTTCGCGACGAGGTACGTCGCGTTTCTTTTTTTTCTAATCAAAGCGAATCTTCTGTGCTAATCTCCGCCGTCGTCGTCGGTGCACGCGAGTCTCCGTTTAGGTTAGGTCAGGCTCTTGTCTCAAACTTGCACTTCGATGGTTTTTGTTTTAATTACAAGAGACTGTTTTACTTCAATTTCATTGCGTTTCTCGCATTTTATTTCCTTTGGCCTGTATTCTGAACTCTCTATTCTGAAGGCTTATAAACTACATTTAGAGGCATTTTTATTGATAAAAGAGAGAGAGTTCAGGATAAGGACCTTTGTCTTTTTCTTGTCTTCAAAGTACATGTGTTAAACTTATATTCATTTTGTTTTTTTTTATAATATCCTGTCAAAATATAGGATATTCTCATTTATTTTTATATAAATGATCAATTTTAAATGGACATGCTCTTGCAGCCTCCTTTATTACAAGCAATATTCCTTGGTGATATGGAGGAGGTTTTTGCGTTGCTACTGGAACAAGAGGATATCAATTGGCAAGACAAAGAACAACGTTCCCTTTTACATGCAGCAGCGTATAGGTCTATACTTCTGAAATACTTCTAAAATTTAGCAAGAGGCTCTGATTTTTTACAAAAGCACTCATGATGTCTATATTTTAGGGGAAACACTGCTATCGTAGAGACTCTCCTGTTAAACGGTGCAGCAGTCAATAGTAAAGATAAGAAGTGGCTAACCCCACTGCACAGAGCCTGTTGCTCAGGCAATTATAATGTAGTAGATATTTTATTGAAATACAAAGCAGATGTGAATGTTCGAGATCGCAGTTGGCAAACACCTCTTCATGTAGCAGCAGCGAACAATGCCGTGCAATGTGTAGAGCTCATACTGCCACATGTATTAAATCTCAATCTTACAGACAGGTATGTGTGTATATATATATGTGTATATACATATATATATATATATATATATATATATATATATATACACATTCTTTTATTATTTGTCATGTTGGGTTTTATTATTTATTATATTGTGAATTTATGATGAAATTATCTGCGAGTTGAAATCGCGAATGATTTGTACATTCATATTAACACGAGATATTATTAAATTATTCCTTGTCGCAGAGGTGGAAGAACGTGTCTTCATCACGCCGTGTACAACGGACATCTCGAGATGACCGAGTACTTGGCTCAGCTCGGTTGTGTGATAAATGCTTCTGACAAGAAGGATCGCAGGCCTCTCCACTTTGCGGCGTATAGGGGCCACGATGAGATAATAAAGGTGTTGATAGCCAAAGGCGCCGACGTGGACGTGAAAGTACGAAGCACTTTTTTCAGAACAAACTCTTCTACTCTGCCTATGCTCTGTGTGTATATATCTTTTGTATTTGCGTGTTGAAGGATCGAGATTTGTATACTCCGTTGCACGCAGCGGCCGCTTCTGGTAACGTAGAGTGTATGCACACTTTGATCAAGGCTGGTGCAGATATCGAAGCCAAGAACGTATATGGAAACACCGCGTTGCATATTGCGTGTTTGAACGGATATGCTCACGCGGTCACGGAACTGATTGCCAATGATGTTAATTTAGGTACGTTTTCTCTCTTTCTCTCGCTCTTGTTTACTGATCTTGCAGCATTTGGACTTGTTCGGCGAAGTTCCTCTGATTTCACTACTGTGGAACACTGAATTGATGATGTCAGAAGTAAGAAAATGCATACCAAACATTCTTGCGTACCATTTTCAAATAGATATGTATAAAAGAATATTTTAGATATTTGTTGAATGTTCTAAAAATTATATTCTTTCTTGATGGTTGATAAAAAGCCTTTTAAAATTAACGCGACATATAACCTTCCTCTTCGATCTATTTTTTCTTGCGCTTTTGCTACATTAATTTTAAGGCTATTTCACATCGTCAGCCGGAAGTCCCGTGAAACCAGAAGCTTCAAATAAATGTTATACGTTCTTCATTGCGACAGAGGCCGTCAATTATCGCGGGCAGACCGCGCTGCACGTGGCTGCTGCTAGTACACACGGTGTTCATTGTCTGGAGGTGCTGGTGCAAGCTGGACTGAAGATAAACGTACAGTCGGAGGACGGCCGTACGCCGTTGCACATGACTGCGATTCACGGCAGATTCACGAGGTCGAAGACGCTGCTTGACGCCGGCGCTTTTCCAGACACGAGGGACAAGAATGGAAATTCAGCTTTACATGTCGCCGCCTGGTAAATCCTAATGAATAAAATATATATAATATAGTTACTTGTTCCTTGTTGTCTCCTAGCGAGTGAAATGAGTGAGATATGTTAACTACAAATATCACTAGGTTTGGTTATGAGTGTTTGACTACGACTCTACTGGAGTGCGGCGCATCTCCGGCGGCGCGCAACGCGCAACAACGGACGGCTCTCCACCTGAGCTGCTTGGCGGGACACATAGAGGTGAGTCGGATTTATCAATATGACAACGAGATATCGCAGCGATAGCTCGGTACCTTAATCTACACTCTATTATATCGTAGGTTTGTAGAAAATTACTACAAGTCGACAGACGAATCGATACGCGAGACATAGGCGGTAGGACGGCCTTGCATTTGGCAGCGTTCAAGGTATGACACGTACTTTATCAACTCGCCCGCTTGTTTGATCGTATTCGCCGCAACAATTGTTCATCGTTCTCTCGTTGATGAACGTCATTGATGTAATGCATCTTCCGCAGGGTTCCGTGGACTGTTTGGATCTGCTGTTATCCAGCGGTGCCAACTTCCGCCTCGCCGACAACGACAACCGGTTAGCTTTGCATCACGCCGCGAACCAAGGACATTATCCTTGCGTCTTCACCTTGGTGGGATTTGGTAGTGATTCGAACGCCCAGGATGTGAACGGAGCCACGCCGTTGCATCTGGCCGCAGCGGCGTCCAATCCTTCTGATTCTTGTGCTCAGTCAGTATCGCACATTTACTGGACGCCCTGGACGGATCGTGTTATTTGTATGATTGATCGTAATTATCGTAATTGGGTTAGGTCATACAGGTGTGTGCAGTACCTATTGCAGCACCGGGCAGACCCGCGTTTATGCGATAAACGCGGTTTTACTGCGATTCACTACGCCGTAGCGGGCGGCAATCAACCGGCGCTGGAGGCACTTTTACACGCTTCGTCGACTACGTCGTCGACATCGTCGACATCGTCGTCATCGTCGTCATCGTCGGCACCTGTACAATCAGGCAATTTACCCACCGCGCATGGCTCCTTTCCGTTCGAGCAGGAAGCGCCATCACCGGCGCTCACTCCAGTACATCTCGCAGTACGTAAGCTTCTCTCACCCCGTTCGAAGATCCGAAACGACGCGGTTTCATCTGCAAAATGTGTTTTTAGGCGTATCACGGTCATAGCGAAATCTTGAAGTTGCTACTTCCGTTGTTCCCTAATATAAACATCAAGGAGGATAGCGGAAAAACTCCGTTGGATTTGGCTTCCTACAAAGGACACAAGCAATGCATCGAGCTCCTACTGCGATTTAGCGCTTTGGTGTCGGTTCAAGTAAGAAATATATGAGTTTCTTAAGGCTCCTGGGGAGTCGCATCATCCATCTCTTTTTAATGACGTCAGAAGCGAGAAAACGCATGCTAAAAATTCCTGCAAAATACGTCGAGATAAACAGATATATCCACAAAACGACATTTGCGATCGATTAAGTACATCTCTAAAATACTCC